AAACTCAAGTCCCCTGGAGTAGCGGCAAGCTCTCCTATTTATTTAGTCATCTCTCCTGTCCCCTAAAACATTATATATAAATATAAGTGTATATTTATATACACATACACATACACTCATACAAAGGTTCACACAGCAACTCAAGTAGATTGCCCCTCACTGTGCAAACCTGGCTGTCCTGAAACTTAGGACAAGCCTCTTTTCTTCATCTCCAGAGTCTGGGATTATAGATGTGAACCACCATATACTTGTTTTTTTTTTTTTGCCTCAGTCTCCTGAAGAGGCATGTAACACTTTCACCACACAGTGGTGCTCTAGTTCTGGCTTATTATGAATATGCAGTTGTGTCTGATATTGTCGTTATTAAAAAATTCTCCTTTCCACAGTCTTTTGTCAGCCAGATGCCTATGTTCACTGAAGAGCCACATCCCTTTCCCCACTATTATCAACTTATTTTCTCAAAAGAGAAACAAGTGCAGTTTGATAGCTTGGTGCACAGAAGCAATTAGCTTCCCTGTCTCTTTTTACTAAACAGATAAACTGAAAGAGCAACTGCACAGGAAGGGTGTTCGTATTTTGACTGGATTGGGAAAATACTTACAACGTTTGGACAAGGAAGGGAACGGGCTTTTAGAAAAGGCTGATTTTCGGCAAGCTCTGAAAACCTTTCACTTAGAAGTGTCTGAACAGGTATGTACCACACTGCATTTTTTTCTCTTGGCATATTCTTGCATGGCCTTGTTCACTTTTCTAATGGAATTTTAATAGCTTACTTTTTTTTTTAACACCACACTATCAGGGTTAAGTCACCAGGCAACGAGTCCCATTGATTTTTAAAATGTTGACATCTATTCCTTTATCATATATTTTTGAAGTGTTTAGTAGCCAGGCATCTGTTAAACTCTGAGATGATTTCTCCACCTCGAGAAATCTTCAAAACGGAAGAAAGGGGTTAAGCTAATACAAACATCAAACAGAGAAGGCTTTGGGAACACGTGTAGTGGTACTCAGTTCTAAGCCATGATATCAGGAAGGAGAGGGAAGACCTTGGCAAGATCCCTGGAGAAGGATGCATCAGGTTGGGTTTTGAATAATGAGGAAGAATTAACCAGGCAAGGGTAGAGAAGAACACTAGCAGACAGTGGATCTCCCACGAAGAGGGGGCGTGGCTCAGAACCGTCATTTCCTGGAAAGGAGAAGCACGCTCAGGGCCTGAACTGTGGCTCTTCCCCAAGCTGCAGGGTCTTACCTCTCTCTGATGAGAATGATCTCGCACTAGATCTGTGTGTTCTAGATTTTTCTCTTCATTTGGGCCACAGCTTTCCTTAACAGAGGAGCGCTGCTGTCTGAACCCCGATCCTTTCTATACCAACGTCCATTTTAGTTTCTTCACTGCACGTTGTGTCTGTAAGTAAAATGTCACGTCTCACCCTGATTGGGGACCAAGGTGGTATTGGTTCCTGCTCTTTATTTAGCACCTTGAACTGAGTCTGTCAGGGCAAATACAGACACAATAGCACATCGCCGGGGCAAGTAGATGGAAAAGTGGGAGAGATTCATTTTGGTGCCTGAAAGCCTTGTGTGCTATACTCGGAAGTTTTGCTTGTAGGTTAAAAGTACAAGTGTGACTAACAGTCTTGACCGGACTTGGACGGTGTCACTGTGGAGCAGAAAGGGCTGGATTTCGAGTTCACATAGGAAGATTATGAGAGAACCACTGAATGGCTTTGCTCTCACACTAAGCATCGACCTCAAGTGGCAGTGATCTGTGGTTCCGGCTTAGGAGGGCTGACTTCTAAATTAACTCAGGCTCAGATCTTTGAGTACAATGAGATACCCAACTTTCCCCAAAGCACAGTGCAAGGTCATGCGGGTCGACTGGTGTTTGGCTTCCTGAATGGCAGATCCTGTGTGATGATGCAGGGCCAGTTCCATATGTATGGAGGGTACTCGCTGTCAAAGGTGACATTCCCAGTGAGAGTTTTCCATCTTCTGGGTGCGGGCACTTTGGTGGTCACCAATGCTGCTGGAGGACTCAACCCCAATTTTGAAGTTGGAGATATCATGCTGATCCGTGATCACATCAACCTACCTGGTTTCTGTGGTCAGAACCCTCTCCGAGGCCCCAACGATGAAAGGTTTGGAGTTCATTTTCCTGCCATGTCTGATGCTTATGACTGGGATATGAGACAGAAGGCTTTGAGTGCCTGGAGACAAATGGGGGAGCAATGAAAACTACAAGAAGGCACCTACATGATATTGACAGGCCCTACCTTTGAGACTGTGGCAGAGAGTCGTCTGCTGAAGATGCTGGGAGCGGATGCTGGTGGCATGAGCACAGTCCCAGAAGTTATTGTTGCAAGACACTGTGGGCTCCGTGTCTTTGGTTTCTCACTCATTACTAACAAGGTTATCATGGATTACAACAACTTGGAGAAGGCCAGTCACAGGAGGTTCTAGAGGCCAGTAAAGCAGCTGCACAGACATTGGAACGGTTTGTCTCCATTCTTATGGAGAGCGTCCCACTCCCTGAGCATGAAAACTGACTGGCCATGGAGTCCTTCGGTGCTCCCCTGGTGGGGTCCAAGTAGCTGTCTACTTTGGTCCCTTGCTGAGGTCACTAGTCTCTGTTCTTAGATTCTAGCAGAAAAGAAAGAGGAGGATGCTTATCCTTCACCTTCCTGATGTTCTACTGTTCTGATGCCTAGTCCTCTTGCTTAGTTGCCTTCTCAAATTAGCTTTCATTCCTCTGGAAGAGCTGGAGTCCATTCCTACCACACTTGGGATATATGCCTTCAAACAGTGTCTTCTACATCTTGGAGAAGACAGACATGTTCTGAGCTCAGTCCGCTTCCCTTAAAGCCCTAGAGACCAAAGATGAACCCAATACCTCTTCTATTTTATTTAGTATCATAATATTTTGAGAATAAAAAGATCAAGTATTAAAAAAAAGTACAAGTGTTTCGGCTTTTCTTGTTCAGGTCCTGTCTGAGTAGTTCTGAGACAATTGCTATGTTTAGGGTGGCATAGAAGCTCTAATAAAAAATTACATGGGAATTTGCTTTATCAACTGTAAAATTTGGTGTCAGTGGAACATGGTTTATCACTGTTGGGACATAATTGTCCTTTGGTTTGTTGTGATGATGACATTGAAGCTTGTGAGACAAACCAGGGACCATCCACCTTCACATCTTTCATAGATAACAAAATAAAAACAACATTAGGAAATTAGAACATCATGGTATATTTTTGTCAAACAGGCAAGTAAATCATAATCGATTGAGAGCTGGTGTCCACATAGCTTGCCCCGTGGAGTGTGGGAAAGTATTATATTACTCCGGTGCCTCTGTATTTGTTTGCAAAATATTTATAACTAGTGAATAAGACTAATTATCTAAGACTTTTGTTTTAGTTACTTTTCTAGTGCTGTGACAAAACTCCACGGACAAGGCAATTTATAAAAGAAAGAGTTTAAGCTGGAGGCTGTTAGTTCCCCAGAGGGTTAGAGTCCAGGACTATCATGGTATGGAGCATGGCAGCAGGCAGGCATGTCACTGGAACAATAGAGATCCTACATGTTGACACAACAATCGTAACACAAAATGTGAGAGCTAATGGGGAATGGCATAGTCTTTTGAAATCTCAAATCCCACCCCTTAGGATCCTACCTCCTCCAATGAGGCCACACCTTCTAATCCTTCCCAAACAGTTCTGCCAACTAGGAGCAAAGCATTCAAATATATGAGCCTACAGGGGCCTTTTTCATTCAAACCATCACAATTACTAAGAAGGATAATGTAAGAATATAAGTTTTATCCTTTCTCATATGTTTTGCTTTATTATAAACTTTATTTATTTATTTTTTAATTTTTAGAATTGGTCCTAGGGTCTTATACATGCAAAGTAAGTATCTTAACATTGATCTACATGTCCAGCCATATCATGTATTTTAACTAACATTTTTATTTTGCTTCTTTTTGTATCACCTATGCAATATACATGCTTATGCAATCATAAGTGCACACAGGGAGATGTGAGAATAAGGTTCACCAGCCTGGGTCTCACTGTGAAGTAGAAGATATTTGTGAAAAGACACAGTCGTTCTCTTTGATTTTAAATAAAAAGTGGTATGCTCCACAAAGAGCTAAGTTTACATGGAAATATTACCAATGAAGCAAAAATTCCAGCTGAATTAGTTTCCATCCTGAATCATATGTAGACATATGAATCTTTTTGTTACTTGATTTCATTTCTTAATTCTTGAAAACCCTCCTTCTGAGCCTTCAAAAGTCCTTTTAAGTCTGGTGTTCTTTGAGTTAAGTGAACACATTTGCCCCCTGTTCATTTTAACTCATGATTTGTAAAAGTGAAACTCAGACTCAGTTATAACTCAATTCCACATACACACATTTTTCTTTGTAACATATGAGGCATTTTGACGTGCAAAAAAACCTGTATAAATCATTGGCTGTTGAGGAGAGGCAGGGTACGTTGAATCTTAGCTTTCTAATTACAGTTTTATTTGAAAAGGTTAGGGGGTAGAAGAGAACAATTTCTGAGTATCTATTTGCCAAGCTGGGTGTTTTATTTACAGCCTCATTTAAAGCCAACACCATGAGAGAAGCATTGAGAATATATCTCTCTGAGCTTCAATAAAGGAATGCTGTAACTTGTTTTGATATCAAGAACACCGAGTAGAGCAGGGCTTTAAACAGCACCTGGCAGTGAATAAACTGACATGCGGTGTTTAGTTAGCATCATCCTCTTTAGTGTAGATTTAGTGTAGTTCAGAAGTCATACAAACCTCCTGTGCTCCCAAGACCAGAAGAAAGCCCATTAATAGTCTCAGCATGACTGGTGTCTTAGAACCTGAATAGACTTTGAAATGACCACAGATGGAATACAGTTAAAAACAGAGGAAAGTTCAAAACCGAGTATACAACAACCATATTGCTTTATATAAAGACACCGAGAGGTAAACGCTGGGGGTGTAATGTATAGAGATTGGCCAAGTGACAAACATTTCCATTTGGATAAGAGGGTAGGTTTTATCTATGGCACAGCCTGGTGAATAAAGTCAAGAATAATGAATAATGTACTGTGTATAAAAATAGCTGAAACAGGTTTTAAATAGTCTTACTACTTTGTTGTTACTAAATCTTACTGAATATTCTTATTAAAATGGTAAATATTTGACAGAGATGGTATTTGGTCTGGCTTGATCTTTCCGCAGCATACATGTGCATTGAGATATCATGTTATGCTCTCTATGTGTACTAGTATTTATCAATAAAACATGATAAGACCCTTGGGATGGAGGTCAGTGATTGAACTTGCATCCCGGAGATCACCTGATATGCAAGAGGTCCCTAGGTTCGACCCTCAGCATTTCTCTGCCCTCAAATAGCATACCTTTAAGAAGGATATAGTGTGAGTTATCACTCCTTCAAAAGAGGACTTTAGCTTAGGCATTCACTCCAAAATTCCATTTAATAGGTTTGTCTGTAACTTGATGACATTTCTTACTCAGTAGGTTACCTTGTCTAGAGCCCCAGATGATCTAACAAAATATGACTCTGATCTTGTTGTGACTTATATAATTTAAAAATGTAATCTAATTTCTATGGGGAATTTTTTTTCCTTAGGACTTTGAGTCTTCTTGGCTAATTCTGCAAAGCCGTGGCCCTGGCAAGAACAAGGTTGATTATGGAGAATTCAAACGTGCCATTTTTGGTGAAATGAATGAATATAGAAAGTCATTTGTTCGAAAGGTAACTGCTAACTGATCTCAAACTATTACGCTTACTAGATTGTTAGATTCATTTTTTTTAGCACCTTGAATGGACCATCAATTGAAACCTGTCATATCGTTTTGGCTGCAATGCACACTGGGTTTAGTAAGACTTAAAATAAGCAAGCTTATGTATTTGTAGAAGTCTACCTAGAATAAAACAAAATCACATATATATCATATGATACATATATCATATGATATATATACACATACATATATCTTAGGAAATATTTAATACAAGAAAAATAAAATCCAAATTAAATTATCTTAATAAATTGCTGTTTCTGTAAATTGCTAGCTATCCATCTAAACTGTTGTGTAAAATCCTAAGCCTCATTTGCTGTCCCACAGAGCGAGTGGAAAAATTGGATGTGACGATTCCATTCTTAGCATTACAACTATTACAGTGTTGGTGTTCCGATGGACTATTTTACGATGATGACTAATGTGTTTTTATGCAGATTTTATGATATACACGCTAAGAGTTAAAGTGAACAGAACAAAGGTCATATTAAGCTGGAATTAGAGTCCTGGAGAGATAGGTCACTGGGTAAAGATCCTTGCAAGTGTAAGGATCTGAGCTCAAATTCTCAGGTCCCATCAAAATCCAGACCTGGTAACACATGTCTGTAATCTCAGGGCTCTTTCGGACGGCTGAGAGGCACAGATAAGAAACTCCCTGCAGGTCACAGCTCACTAGCCTGGATATGCATTAGCTAACAACAAAGAGGGCCTGTCTCACACAAGGTAGGGTGTGAGAACTGACACCCTGAATGTTTGTGTCTCACACACTGCACACGTGCATATACATCACACCTACATACACACACAGACCCCTAAAATTTTAAAAATAGAAATATAGATGAACTCAGTTCTATCAGACATGTACACTTTTGCGTGGTATGGTCTTTCTTTTGTGTATGTATTTAATACAATAGGTATATGTAGCTCATATTTATAAAAATCTATTTTGTGAAGGGTAGGATAAGTAATTGTAACAGGTGTCAGCTGCAAGTGCAAACACACACACACACACACACACACACACACACACACACACACACCCAGCACTAAACTAAAGCGCTCTACCCTTACTCACCAAGAGATGTAATAAAAACTTTAAGTAAAGCACACTCCTCACTCATGTACAGCTTTGCACTTAATTGTTATTGACATGCCCATGGTTCTAAGCTTGAGTATCAGAATAGGAGTTGAATTAGTGTCTTATGCATAAGTCATTATATTTAGATTAAAGGACCAAAATAAAATAAAAAGAAATAAATTAAGGAAAGAAGGGAGGGAAGGAGGGAAGAAGGGAGAAAAGAAGGAAAGAAAGGGTAGAAAAAAGAGTTACAGCCAGCGACAGGCCTGTCAAATTATTTTCTCATAGTTTGTAGACTAGAGGGACAAACCAGATGGACATATCTCGTTTCCTCTGATGACTCTCTCTATGGTCTGCAGGTGGAAACTCCACTGCTGACCTGTGGCAACCCCTCTGTGCATTGTGCTGTCCTTTGTCAAAGGAATACTACTCATCTCGGACTGAGGCCTGCCCTAATGATTCTGTTCCTTCTTAATTATTTCCTTAAGGACCCACCTCCACATATAGCCCTATTCTGGGGCTCTAAGTGTAAGGATTCAGGCAGGAAAGGAATTTGAGGGACAATTGAATCTAGAGAGGTCAATGTTTCCATGAGTTAAATATTCTGTCTTTTGTTTTTAGGGTTTTTTTGAGACAAGGTTTCTCTGTATAGCCCTGGCTGTCCTGGAACTCACTCTGTAGACCAGGCTAGCCTCGAACTCAGAAATCCACCTGCCTCTGCCTCCCAAGTGCTGGGATTAAAGGTGTGTGCCACCACTGCCCGGCAAGTTAAATATTCTGAATAAACAAAGATGGTTCTAGTTTGGATTCCTGGCAAGCTCAGACTGCTGCATCAGATAGCTTGATGTGTCTGTGTATCTTCCCTTCTTCATATTTTTTGATAGGCAGAGTTGTATTGAGTTGGAAGAACAGCAAGTGAAGCCAGTCAGGAACCGTAATGGAAGTATTGTACGCTAAGAAATAAGCATCTCACCTGTTCATTGATTCTAGTGATGTGGAGTTTGCAGGTTTACTTTTTGAACTAAAAACAAATAAACAAACAAACAACCTTCAAATAACTTCCCAGTTCTTCATTTTGGTCTTTTATCAACTTCATGAATCTCAGAGTTGAAAGTTACCAAGGTCTTTGACCTGACCCTTCAGTTCCCAGCAAAGCCGGGACAGGGCAGTGGGGCTCGATCACTTTCTGCAGGTCAGGGGGCTAGACAGGGAGCACATGAAATGCCAGCTGGGAGTGGGAGGGTCCCCAATGTTTGTTTTAGTGATCTTCCTCCGTGTTAATGATGCTTTCTTAAGCAGCTGTTTAGCTCCTTCAAAATGTCTTGTTTAGAGTCCGTAAATGATTGAGTGCAAAATAGCTTCTCATGTCTAATAATTTCACAGAGAGAAACCCTGTCTTTCTTTAGGCTTTCATGAAACTGGACTTTAACAAAACCGGCATCGTGTCTGTTCTAGACATAAGAAAGTGTTACTGCGCCAAGAAGCACCCACGTGTGATTTCAGGTAACTGTCACGTGCCGAATGCTTTTGATTTCTACTGTGCTCGTTAATAAAAATGTCTTCTCTAAATTCTCAAATCTAAAAGCATCGGCTGAAAGGAAGGAAATCCATTTTGTTTGAGCCAATAGCTTGGGAGCCATCTTACCCTTTTCCATTTAAAAATTCTTAGGTGTGTTGTCTATACTTATTGATTTCTCTGATAGTTATAATGAAGATAGGATTCTTGTTTGGAATGGCTGGTGAATTGGAGTGCAAAAGATTTGGCAGAACCTCTATAAGTCTCCCACTTATAGTTACTGTATCTTCTGATAGATGACCCATCCTTGAGGATTGAGGAAGATTTATGTCTTTATCGAGAGTGGGAGTGTATGTAAAAGGATATTGTGTATCTGTGGAAATCCAGCCAAGAGCAGCAACGCACACCTATAATCAGCACTTAGGAATAGCAAAGGGGAGTGAGACTTCACCTCAAAAACAGGGAGGAAAGCGTAGCGGGTTTTTAAAAGTAATAGTAAAGGTTCATTTCTTATTATAGTTCTTAAATAATGGATTTATGAATGCGGTTTATCACAGTGTTTGTGATAAGCAAACTTCCTTAATTCCATTGTATTTTTTTTTCAGAAGAGTAAAAGTTGTAATCACGTAACATATTTTTCAATCACTTCCTCTATGACTTGCTTTTTTAAAAAACATGATTTATTTAATGTATATGAGTACACTGTCGCTATCTTCAGACACACAAGAAGAGGGCATTGGGTCCCATTACAGATGGTTGTGAGCCACATGTGGTTTCTGGGAATCGAACTCAGGACCTCTGGAAGAGCAGTCAGTTCTCTTAACCACTGAGCCGTCTCTCCAGCCCCCTCTATGACTTTCATTGTTGTATAACATTTGCTAACCCACATTAAGATGTCATGCTTTTTGTTTGCCAAATTATTCTATTACTGATCAACAAATTAAAACGGGCATAAACATTCTCCTATTGGTGGGCTTCTAATTTCTAACTATCGACACACATCTAATGAAGCACACACATGTTTGTCTGTGACTCCTTAGGTTTCTTTCCTTCTGATTCCCTTGTGTGATACCAATACCTAGAAATACAAGGATATCCACATTTCAAATATCAACTGGTACTTCCAAACGCTGTTGCAATGATAGCTAGTTCTACACTAGATTATACTGCCTTTTCTTGTGGAATTATTTTTTGTCTGACAATCTGAGCTCTACTCAATTTGCATTTCATTGACTAATACAGAAGTAAAAGGCTTCCATTACTTAATTGAATATTCTCTTTGTTTTCAGACAGGATCTTACCGTGTAACCCAGACTGGCTTTGACAGCCTCTGGCCTTACCCTATTATTTTTTACTCAACATCATATTTTTATTTAACTATTGGGAATTTCATATAATGTACCCTGATGTTTCAAACTCACTTCATGTTCCTCTTAGGTACACCCTCCCACTCTTGTGCCCACCCCAAAAAAGGAAAATGAGAAAACAAAAGAGAAAAACAATGCACCAAGTCCAACTTGTGTTGCCCATAAACTCACTGGAGTTTGGTCACACTCCTACTTAGCCTGACTGTCCTAAGTGTGGGGATTACAGTGTTCACCTCCATGTCCTGTCTACTTAGGCATTTGTTTATGAGTAGTGCTGACCCTCTTTTCTGGATAGTTACATAAAGTAAATGCAGAAGACTTGTTTTTTTTTAATTTAATGTTTTATACTTTATATTAATAAAGATACAATTACCTTCCCTTGTTATCATTAAGAAATATTGTATATGTCAGGGCCTTGGCTCAGTTGGTAGAGTGCTTGCCTAATGGGTAGGAGGGGCTGAATTTGGCTTCCAGCTGTGAACAAATGAGCTCATGGGGCATCCTTGTAATATCAAGACTCAGGAGTTGGAGACAGGGGGATGCGGAGGACAAGGTAAATCTGGAGATGTCATTCTCTACATCTTTCTACTAAGTTAGTCACACTCAACACAAGGGCAAATGATCACGCTTATTTCAAAGTTTGGTGACTTCAGCATCATTTATCTCTTCCTTTGGAGTCAGCTTGCTTGTACTGCTTCAGTTCTATGATGGGCCAGAGATGATGGCTCCAGTTGGATTTGCTCCTGCTATTGGGTAACCTTGGTTCCTTTCAGGAATTCCTTACTTTGGCTTTGCATTCTCATTTAAGAGGAAAACTAAGTAGGCTGTACATGTCTAAAAGGGAAAATCTAGTGATAGCTTAATATAACAAAGAAAACCCTATTTTTATGTTTCATTACAAATTGCAATCTATATACATAGCAATTTCCAGGATAAAAAGTGTCTACTATTATTCTTCCTCTTCCTCCTCCTCCTCCTTGTTCTTTTTCCTCTTCTTCCTCTTCTTCTTCATTCTCATCTTCCTCCTCCTCCCTCTTTATTTTTTGAGACAGGATCTTGTGTCATCCAGGATGACCATCTGCTTGTGACTTTCCTTTGCCTCTGCCTCCTGCATGCTTGCCTTCACAATCTCAGTTGTAGAAAACATTCTCTCTCTCCTTTTGACTTCACTTAAGTAATCTGTTAGGAAAAATGGCTTTAGTAGAAGTGGCACAACCCAAAATCAGTTTTTGTAATGATAGAAATCCAATATTTAATTTTGTAACAATTTCTGGTCTATTAAAGCAAAGAAAGAAAATCTCCCATGGATGATGGGAGATGGATATTTTCTAGGTGGGAGGTTTTAAGAAGGTATATGATTCTTGCTTTTTGAAACATAAATTTAATTAAAAATGCTGTAATTAAAACTTGTTTCCATATACATTAGCTGCTGATTAGATTTTGCTTTGACAAGGCACTATTGTTGCATAGCTCAGCGTCCTGTCTCCCTTCATTCAAACTCCTTTCATTTTAATAAAAGGATCACTTTCATCCTATTTGCTTTGTATATTTTTAAATGACAGCAACGGTTTTTTGATTTTTTCCTTGAATTCAGTTTTACATATGTGTATGCATGTTTGTGTCTGTGTGTGGGATGTAGGTACTTACAGAGGCTAGAAGATGGTGTTGGACCCTCTGGAGCTGGAGTTACAGGCCACTGTGAGCCACAAAATGTGGATATGCTTGGCCAAACTCAGATTTTCTGGAGGAGCAGCAAATATTCTTGATTGCTAGCCATCTGTCCTGCCCTCTGACTTAAAAAAATATTTTTAAAGGTCATTTCAATGGTCATAGATTACTGCCATATCTTTTGCTTTGTTGACACATCCTTTTGTTATTCTATTTTGGATATTTTTTGACCATCTTTTCATCTTTTTACTATTATGAATCTTTTTTCCTATGTTCTGTGCTAGTAGCTCGAGAACAGATAAAAGGATGAACGAAGGAGGGGGATAGTGATGGAGAGGCCAATTGTGAGATAAATTAATTCTGGCTAATGTTTAAAGAAATCAGAGGGATGTTTGGCATGCCATTTTAAATGACCAAAATTATTTCAGAAGATGAACAAGTATCCCACTATCATCGTCTGTTGTTTTGCTGAACTTTCACGGAAAATATTTCAAGTCAGTCCTCTTCCTGCAGGGCATTCAACAGAGGAGGAAATCAAATCATCTTTCCTAGAGACATTAAAAGATGCCTGCAGGAAGTATGGTGAAATTTCATACGGTGAATTTGAAGATTACTATGAAGGCCTAAGTATAGAGGTAGCAAGTGATGAAGAGTTTGTCCACATCTTACGTACTCCATGGGGAATTTAGTTTTCGATAGCACACCTTCTCACTGGTACCAAGTATTTTATAGAGAATATGCATTTTATATAAAATATGATCAGCTTGTAATATATTTTCCGAGATTCTTTTTAAATTTTTTTTCAAAGTAGAATCTGGAGAGGCCAATTTGGAAATAGATGTGTGTTTTTTAGCACACATGCATGCCTACCTGTCCAGATGTTTATAAAGACAGTTCTTTTTGCTCATTCTTAGCTTCTCTTATTATATATCTTATTACACTTATAATTCTTACACTTGTTATATCTCTTATCCTACAAGGATAAGATGGTCCTTATCCTTATACATTATGCTCCTTGTACTTATTTTAGAAAAGTAGTTAAAAAATTAGCCTTAATAGAAAAGTAACATTTCCATTAAACTCTATGAGGGCTTGTATATAGTGATCATTTTCTGTCCTTTCCCAATTTTCTTAGAACCTTTCTCTAGAATACAGTTGTCACCATTCTCAATTTAATGACGTGGGATTCAGACCAAGGGTGAAGCAGTTAGTGCAACTTGTTTGCAACTTAGGAAAATATTCAGTTATCCGTAAAAGCAATGTTAAAGTCAGTACAATGTGGGTGTTTTCCATGCATTATATTTTGAATAGTTGGTGTTTACACCTCAATGTTTATTTAAAGAGAATTGTCATTTATTTTTTTGTCTTCAAAATTATATACTGCTCTTTGTTCACTGGGAAAGTTACATTGTATTTTCTATTTTAACTGTCATATTATCTGCACACAAATGTTACTTATATGTAAACAACAAAATGTAGGAATCTTTGGTGTGTAGATATATTTCCTTAGACTATTAAATGAAGAATTCAAAGATAATTCATTGAGTTTTGTACAAAATGTAAAAGCATCCTTTTGTATCACAAAATAAAAATATGGTATTCTAAGCAGCTCTTTTTTTGTATAGTAAACAACTGGAACATTTTCTTCTACATATGACGTGTTTAATAGCTTCCCGTTCTATGCTCATTCTTTCCAAATTGTATTCTTCACTTTTCCCTGGATGGAATGTACTCATTGTTGGAATTATGAATGTGTAACTTTTAAATTGTTAGTTTCTTGTCTTTACTATCAATGCTAATTATCACATGCTAGGGGAAAGAACATGACAAGAATGATGCCAGATGAGAAACTTACCAGCGAGAAATGTAACTGTCTGTCTGTCTATCCATCCATCTATTATGTATCATCTACCTATGTATCTGTCATCTATCATCTATGTATTTATCATCTATATCTATGTATCTAATATCTATTTATCTACATCTATGTATTTATCTATATATCCATATATGTATCTATCTATGTACCTATACATCTATGTATGTATCTATGTATTTATCTACGTATGTATATATGTATGTATCTATGTATGTATGTGTGTGTATGTATGCATGCATCTATCTATATCTATCTATCTATCTATCTATCTATCTATCTATCGAGTTGCTGATGCAGAAAATCATTCTGATCTTGATTAGCTTCACTGCCAAGGTTCTTCTTAGACCTTGGCATAGTAAAAAGTTATTTAGTATACAGTTTAGTAGATGAGCATTTGAAGCAAGTGGAATTTTAAAACATTCACAACACTTAACAACTGGTGTTTCCTATTCTCAGTAGTCTTTAAGATTCTGAAATGCCTTTTGAGCAACTTTAAAATGTTTTATGTTGTGAGTTTTGTTGCATGAGTTGGGCAGCAAATGGATTTTATAATTAGGTAGGTATTTGCCAGATACTTGCTTGAGATGGTATAGAATCGTTCTCCCAGTTCACCATAATAACTTCATTGAGCAGTGTATATTGATTGTGCTGTCTCTATTCTTGCACATTCATTACAGAATTTTCAGGAAAGTGGAGATATAATCTAGGGATTTCAGATTGTATTTTAGTATAAAGAATAGACACTCACAAGATGGAGGAGTTATGGGATATTAATAACCCCAGCATTACAGGGCATCCCTAGGGCTTTCTAGCTAACAACCCTAACCCAAAATGAGAGACCCTGTCCTATGACAGTAAGGAGAGAAACAGAGAAAGACAACAGATATCTTACTCTGGTCTCTGCATGGGTACCGTCTGCACATTCACATGTCTGTGTCACATATACATGCAACGCACACACACACACACACACACACACACACACACACCCAATAAATGCTACATATCAGATGAACAGTGCATCTGATCACCAGTCAGTGAGTTAATCACTTAAACTTGTGAGTAATAATATCCATGCAGTTACTGGGCTTTGATATATTCTAGATCTTCCTCCCTTTTCTAGTGTTCACTCAGCCTCAGATACTGTCATGTGTTACTTCTGAATCAGTTTCTTTAGCCTCAATGGGCATGTTCACACACTTAGTACTCCTCATATATATTCATGTGTGTTGCTTCATATCCACTGTCTCTTCCTATCTTAACCCAAGGCAACACACAATGCTCTTGGGGTAACTTTTTTCTTTTTGCTACTTTGGGGTCTAAACCTCATGTATGTTAAGTAAGCACTCTACTACTGAGCCATACAACCCAAGGGAGTGATGTTTTTAAAAAATATACATTACTTTCTGAATAAAATTCCTTCCCAACATCCCACTTCTTTCGGAAAAGTTTGAACTCATGACTGTACTTCATGGCATCGAAACAATAAGTTCATTGTGAGCGCAGGTTCCTAGATTCAGAGAATTCTTCATATTCTTCTAGACTTTCTGAACGGCTTACACTTTTTTTTAAACTTGATTGTGACATTTCACATCTCAGTACCTGCTTTGTTACTGCCATCCAAAATGGTTGTCTCCACTTAGTAGGTCTACATTCAGCCATTCTGCGCTTCTAGTACTTCAAAAAATGATCCTATCTAAACTGCTAAAACTGATACACTCGTGCCTCTGAGATCCGCACGTCACACCACGTATGCTGTTAATATAATCTTTACTAATGCATACCGTAATGCCACTTTGCTTGTGTTCCTTCCACTAGATGGGGAAACCTCGTGAGCATAGCCACAGTGTATGTTTCAACCAGGAATACAGCTCTGGAACTTTAAACCCGAACCTGGTGTTGGGAGAGATGGGGGGTTCCGGAGGGAAGGGATTAATTGAGACACAGGTTCTTGGGGAGAGAACTCTGAAAGGCGTGGTGCGACCCCTCGTGGATCTGAGAGGAATGGCAGTGTGGCACTTCCGTGCGCATGCGTGAGTAGGAGGGATGAGTTCAGCTCTACTTTGTGATCCTGGTCTCCAGTCCTGTGTCTTACTCGGGATAGGCATTACAGCCATGTTATCAGGGTGCTTGTGGGAATCACTGAGCAGCAGTCGTTGGGATTCTTGCATTGGAACCACCTCTCACTACAAGAACTTTAGCCAAAGCCATGTAAGGAGTCCAAATGTGGATTTAGCACAAGCTCCACATTGCGAACAGTAAATTTACCATATAGAATGAATTGTTTCAGTTAGACAAAAGTAATTTCTGTTTCTTGTGATCACAGTATTGTGACTATAGGAAAAGTGATATCTTATGCAGCTAGGATTGCAGAAAGTAGATTTTAAATGTGTTTTTAACAAGGCATGATTAAGTAGCCTGGCAGAATTGTATATGCCTGTAGTCCCAGCACAGAGAAGTAGAGGTAGAAGAATCAGGAGTTAGTTAGCCTTTGCTACCTAGTGAGTTTGAGACTATTCTGGAATATAAGAGACCCTGTCTCAAAAAAACAATAAATAAATAAATAGTAAGCATGTGAAGTGTTGAATTGTTGACTAATCTGAATGGTTCATTCTATATTGTAAACATATGTCAAAATATCACAACTCACCCTGTGACCATATGCAATTCTTTGCCCATTAAAATATAACCCAAATGCACAGACTTTTAGCTTGGAATTATGCAACAAAGCTTTACTTCTTAGGGACCTCTATGTTCAGTTATGTGGAACTCAGATTGTCCCGAAAGGACTGAATAAGAAATTTTTTCCTGTGTGATGGAAGAAGATTGTATAAAAGAAGAAATTGTTACCGCCCTTGCTGGATTTGTCTTTTCCTTTTATCTTGTTTGAGTGAGGCTTCTGAGGCGTGGTAAATTAGTTTGGATATGAAGTGCAATGCTCTTCACCTTTGCAACAGTACACTGAATTTCCTGGAATTTGTAGATGATGTTAAAGCTAATATGAAGCAAACGAGTGTATCTCAGGGAACTTTCTATGCGTCACTTATGCGAGTGCCACACTTACCCAGCAGCTGGAAGGCCTCTTAGAAATGAACTTTTTTAGAAAATATGTGTCATCCAGAAAAAGTAATTTTGAGAAAGCATTCAGATGGCCGCACCATCAAGGAAAAGTATGTACTTACATTAATATTTTAATCTAACTGATAATGTGGAAAGAGGACAGGTTCAGCAATTTCTGAGTATTGATTTCAAACTTAAGTTCTTCTCTAAATTACCGGTGTGTGTTTGGGAAGTACTCACTGACAGGGGAAGTATGGATTGAAAAATTGTGGCTATCCACAGAGAAACAGATGTATATGTGGATAAAGTGTTCATTGCAGTTCAGCAGGCAAGGTGTACTCCCAGATCCTTATTTGTTTTTTTTCCTGAAATAATTGATTAATTAAAATATTTTGTTATTTATTTTCTGAATATTATATATTCATATAATATATATTTATATATTCATACATAACACATCATCATGCAATATAATATAATTATATTATAATTAATAGCAATAATAATGTCATTATACCCCAATTTACTTCCAAATGACAGTTACACAAGCTACTCTTTTAAATAGATATTAAGGTAAGGATAATTTGTGACTGTTTTCTTCTGAGTCTAATACAATTCTAAGGAGAACGGTACTCAATTTTCATCCTTTAGCAGAGCTCGTGAAGAAAATTAAAGTTTTGTATTAAGGTTGCCAGCTTTCTCCCACCCCCTTCAAAAGCAGTATAATAAAAACAGAGATTAATTAGTATGAAACAATATTTTTATTTAGAATAATTGTAAGATGGGTCGTGGTGTGTGTTGGTGTGTGTGTGTGTCTGTGTGTGTCTATGTGTGTGTCATCTGGAGATTGTGTGGGAGATATTATGCCAATTGAGGTGGGAACACCTATCCACTGTTAAGTGGTACAATTCTCCTAGGCAGAGTATTTTGGAGTGTAAGAATAGAGAGGAAAATCTGAGCACTAATATGCATATGTTCCTTGCTCTTTTCTGACCATGGATATAGTATCACCAGATGTGTCAAGTTCCTGCTGCTGTTAACTCCTTGCCATGACAGACTATAACCTGGGCCTTTGAGGTAAAATAAAGCCTTTCTTCCTTATTGCTATAAAAAACCCTAAATATTTTATAAGCCATTTGAACTAATTAATATCCAGAATGTTGAAGAATGGAAAAATCACTGAATGCTGGAAACATCTTAATGGGCCATTCTGATGGGAACTTAGAGGAAAAGAAATCGAGAAAAATGAATACTGTGATTTCAGAGGGCTCCCAAGATTTCCGAGGGGAGCAAAGAGTCTATTAGTAACTGGAACCATTCATGTGGTATCTGACCCAAGAATCTGCCTTCATTCCATCTGCATCTGCAGTAAAGACCTGTCCACTATGGGTGGTGTCATTCCCTTGACAGGATATTCTGGATTTTATATGAGTGGAGAAAACGAGCCGAGCACTAGCATGCATGCACTCATTGCTCTTTCTTACTGTGGATGGGGGTGTGATGTGACCAGCTACTTCAGGCAAGGCGACTTGCCCACCATGATGAAACTTTACTTTGAACTGTGAACAAAAAACGCCCTCCCCCTTAAGTTACTTTTATCAGAGTATTTTATCACAGCAACACAAAAAGAAACAAGACAAGCGGAATTAATTTGCCTCTGTGGAAACTATCTATGGTGTTTCTAGTATCTTTGATATGCAAAATAAGAC